TGTTGACTTAAATTATGTGAGCATGTCACGAAGTGAACCAAGCCACCTACAATCCTCTGACTCAGATACAATGATTTGATCAACTGCACAGGGTTCCAACCCCTTCGCATTCCAGATTAGGTTTTTACCAGACCTGACTGACGTGTGACTCCAGACTCTCAGCAAAGTGTTGAGTCTTAACTGCTCCTCGGGAATTTTAGGTATGGTAATAAATGCTGACCTAGACACTGATGTCTCCATCCAATGACAAAAAAATTAAAAATTCTGCTTTTCTGGTGATGGTGCTGGCAATACGGCCAACAAAAATCAAATAGAAATCAATAACTTTCTACATTCAGAGAGCAGCACCAATTTGTTAATGGAGGACAGAACCACAAACTGGGAAGGATGAGAGAAAACAACACAAACTGGGGTCAGAGGGAAGGATGGGGGAAAAACACATCTGCATGTCCGTGGAGCAGATAATGTTTATCATTGTTTGAGCAGCTATGACTGAAACTATAGCCAGTGGTAGCACTGAAATCATTAAAGATGACTGTAATCTCAACTCAAATCTTGTTTCTCACTACCCACTTCTACTCATCCAAACCTTCTCTCATTTATTATCTGTAGCATAAAACTCTTGCTTTCCCTCTGGTGTGCAGCATCTAATGAGCTGGATGCTAAGCTACAAAATGTAATTAAAAGTCGCGTGCACTCTTCCCACCTCCCTCCTAAATCACTGGCTCATTGGCTGTGTAGTAGATATTTTCGAATCAACCTGTTCAGAGATGCTATTAAAAAACTCTGGAGCAGGTAGGATTTGAACCCAGGCCTCTTGGCTCAGAGGTAGGGACATTATCAAAGTGCTGCAAGAGCCCCTTACCTGTACAGTACCAGAGGAGAGGGAATAACGATCATCTGAAATATATTCTTGTGAAATTAGTTGTGCAACTGCATCGTGCTGAAAATGCTAAGTAACAAACTGATGTTACAATTTCTTTCTGTGGAAAGTTCAATCTTTTAGTAGCCGAGTTACATTGTCCACAAATTGAGTTGTCAGTACTAAGGAATTGACAATGATATGTAGAAATAAACAACAATGCTGTGAGGATAGTGAAGCCACTGTTCTGTGGTAAAAACGACAAATTCTTGGCAGACAAAGGCTATGCATATTCTTGTAAATCAAATGTGATGCAATTAATTACAGTGATCTTTTTTTCATTTTTGGCTTGAGTTAACGCAAGTTGTATTGCTCTAAGCCTAATTTCAGTTGAGAAGTTATCTTCAACTTTTTTGTGCCCTCCAATTTTATAAGGGCCCTAGAATGGCTGTTGGATTTCCTGCTGATAAAGGCCTATCTTAGAACTAATATATTCCTGATATATGTTGGATATTATATTGCTTTATAATTATTTTATTGAATGAGTTCAAATGGAAAAGATATTTACAGTATTTCAGTTCCAGTGGTGATGTTTTTCATGGTTTTCTGAATATTGGTTGGGAAGTGAATGCAGCAGCTTTTGCATCAGTTTGCCTGTCTGTTGTGTATTGCTCACAGTAAGTCTAACATTCTAACAATTGCATTATTGAACTACATTCATTTCAACCTTCCCAACGGTTAGGACAATATAACAAAACATACAGTTCTTGTAATATACTAGATTGCCTCCCTAGTTTATTAAAAAAACTATAGATTAAAATGTAAAATGGTGTGTGTGTATGTAAGCCCACATTAACAATACCTAAAAATTTAACAGTTTGGGTTGCATACTTTTTTTTTGCTGTGATCACAGCCAAGACATATATGACCTTTATTTTCAGAGTGATGGAAGAGTTACTGGACTGGAAATGTTAACTCTGCTTTCTTTCCACAGATGCTGCCAGACCTGCTGAGTTTCTAGAGCAATTTGTGTTTTTGTTTCAGATCTTCAGCATCCACATTTTTTTGTTTTTGTATTCTTAAACAAGTTGCAGGAAAGGTTATTAACTATGTATCCCCTTAATCCCAAACACACACACATAGGTGATGGAATTGTGGTATTATTACTGGGATATTAATCTGGAGATCCTGACAATATTCTGGGACCTGAGTTCAAATCCTGCCATGGCAGATAGCGGAATTTGCATTGAATAAATAGCTGGAATTAGCAGTATAATGATGACCATGAAACTATTGTCGATTGTCAGGAAGAACCTATCTGGTTCACTAATGTCCTTCAGGGAAGGAAACTGTCATCCTTACCTTGCTTGCTTTTGATTCCAGATCCATAACAATGTGGTTGACCCTTAACTGCCCTCTTGACAATCAGGGATGTATAATAAATGTTGGCCTGGCCAATGACACCCACATCCTGTGAATGAATAAAAAAGTGACTCAGGTCTGCACAAAATTATGTGTGAAAAATATGGGAAAAACTCCCTGCAATTTCATATCATCATTCTCTTTATACCAACCATTCATGATTTACTTGACCACTTGGTGAATACAATACCTTTGCACATTTCTTGATTAATTTCACTGGTGAACACTAGTTCATTCTTTGTGTATCTAAAGTAATTAATCGATAACTCAGTGGCTAGAAATGAATCAGTCATCATGGGAAAGGGCAACTATGTTAGCAAGATTAGCTGACTTACGATATTTGATATTGTTCTGATGGTTAATTTTGTCATTTGGTCCTCCTGACTCAATGATTATTTTTTGCTCCCCTTGTACTTCCTCAAAATCAGACATATTCAGATTGATCCCATATTCTGATTGATCCCTACTGTAAAAAAAATACTTGGCTCACTTTAACCCACTGAGGTGTCTGCACCCTACTGGTAGAGGGTACAGGAGACAGCATTACCTGTGCTTCCTCTGAGAAACCTCTGGCTTCTTCCTCAGAGGTGGAAAAGAAAAGAAAGGGGCTGGACTCTTTATGGCATCAACTGTACAGATGTTACTGATGTCTGAAAGAAATAAGAAAGAGCAAATACTTCACAGAGTTGCCAAATAGGGGCAGAGGTTGAGGCATGCTAAGATCACATTCATGTGGTGGTAACTGACATTCTTCAGCCAATTCCTTCCCATTAGGAGTACTTAGTTCCCTTCTACTACTTCCAACAGCAAGGAAGATATATTATTGCATTGCACTGTAACATCAAATTTAACTAACACTGGAATACTGTGATTGGAATAACTACTCAGTTTCACACTAGTTTCGGTAAAAGAAAGTGATGTAGGGATTTATATTTTCCTCTTGAGAAATCAGCGTCCGAAGGCAGTCAGTAGTTTTGTTACAGTTTCTCTAACCTTTGATTTTAATTTCCCCGGACTAAATTCTAACCTAACTTAAATTGCAATCTTCCCAATTAATTATTTTTACTCTGGATTGCTCCTTGTCCTTTTCCATAATTAACTTAAACTTTTTACTATGATTATATCCCTTGAATATTCCTCAACTGACACTTAATCAACTTCATTCCCCAGAACCAACAATCTCTTTTCCTCATTAGGTCAGAAATATACTGATATAGAAAAGACTCGTCAACATACTTCAGAGATCTTCCCTCATATTGCCTTTTACACCTAACTAAAGTCTCTCATAGTCACTACCACATTGTTTTGGTATCTCTCTGTACAGTTACAATAAGTCAAATTTAGACCTCATAGCATTCCTTCTTATTCTATTAATGTCCTGGTATTTTGACCTCAAATCAATTTCTCCGAATCCATTGTGCACCTTGTTTTCTTTCTTTCTGATGTTACATCCTTATTTCCATTCACTCCCAATTAGCTACCTTCTTGCAAAATTGTTAGTACATATACCCTGTACATGCCCTAACTCCTACAATGTGCTTCTAATCTTCCAAGAATCAATAGTCCTTCATCCTGTACCATCTCTCTAGCCACCCAACCATCTGCTCTATTCTCCTGTTTCTACACTCACGAGTGCATGCCACCAGAGTGTAATACAGAACCAACCATCTTTAAGTTCCCACTTTCTAGTTTCTTTCCTAGCTCCCTAAAAACTGTCTGCAGGACCTTATCCCTTTTTGCACCTATGTCATTGATAGTGATATGAACCAGCACCGCTAACAGTTCACATCCCTCCCATCAAAGTGCTCTGCATTCACTCAGCAAGGTCTTTGACATTGTACCAGGGAGGAAATATACTATCTTGGATTTATGTGTCAACTGCAGAAATGTTTAATGTTACTCTAATTTTAGAATCCTCTATCATTATTGTTTTCCTATTCTTCCTGCCCCCACTCCCACCATATACACCTGTATTACTGGGTGGTGAGTGGGATGCATTCAGCAGACTCCTTCACTTCTTGCCTGTTTCTCTTTGATGGCCTGGAAAGTCTCCATTCCCTGTTCACTTGCACACCATTAAGCTCCAGTTAACAACTAGAAATGTGTTATTCGCAAAGCTTTCAGACTTAGCTAGGAAGTTGTGTTGTAAAGACAACATGTTGCAGAAAAGAATTTTGTAGAAAGGGGTGTGGAAAGTTTTTTTTATTAATGAGAGAATCATGTGCTATATGATATACAAAGTGCACACAAATTTTCTTGTCAGGTAATGCTTTCTCACCGGATTAGTGAACATACAATAGAATTTGTGGTTTTAATAAGTTCACAACACAAGAAATATTCTAAGAAGGGAAACTGCAACATTCCAGTCACCTACAAAGAAATTAGAGCAATATAGAGTTTTGCTGAGATGATTCTGATGTGATATTTCATCATTACTCAAAATTGCTTTCTGCCAACTCCAGGAAAGCAGGTTCCTATTTCAGATAATTATTTCTTCCTGCAACACCACAAATGCTAGGAAACGGTCAAAGAGATAGGTTTAGTATGACTGATGATATTACTTGATCATACTGCTTTCCCTTTGTGTGTGTCTCCACCTGCTCATTTTTCACAAGTTTTACCATTTGAACATTATTTATCGTATTCTAGTTCAGAAAGTGTTTCAAGGGCAAAGTCATCTGATTAATGTTTTTTGTTTTTATTTCTGATCCAACAGATTATAGCAAATCATCATATGCAGTCCATTTCCTTTGCATCTGGTGGTGATCCGGTAAGGCATTACTTGATCTCAGTGACATCCTAAGCCAGGATTTATATCTTATCATGTTATGAAGAAGTGATAAGCACGAGAGCTATTATTTCTTATTCAGTAGGCTTTTAATGTTTACTTTGGCACTGTGATCTTTTCTCATAAGTACCTGAATGGCAGAAGTAAATCCTCTCCTTTTAAAGTGATTGTAGCAGATTATGTCATAGCTTCATACCAAATTCATTTAGATAAATGGTTCAATAAGATTATTCCTTGATTACAATTTACAACTCTTGTAGACCCATCTTTTTGTTTATTTGTCCCAATATCAAGACCTTTTATCTCGCGCCATCATTTGTTTCGTGCTTTAAGCTCTCCTGCCTTTCACAGACTTTCCCTTTTCTTCTCCCCTCAACAATATCCTTGCCTTATTATTTGCTTAAAATCTGTTTCATTACTAATTTTATCCAGTTTTGATGAAAGGTCATTGACTGAAACGTTGGACTGGGTTTTTGTCTTTGAGACCTGAATCAGGAGTCAGCAAACTTGCTGATGACATGATTGCTCCTTTAACAGCCAGTACCTGTCAATGCTATTTTTATTGCAGGTGCCAGAGTTCATCCTGAAGTTATTTTCCATTTCAGCAGTAGGCCCAATGTGGAGATGGAGGTAGGTTGATGCTGAGGTGGTCAATTTAAAAAATCTACATGTTTTTGCTGAGATTTTGACCCAATTTTGTTGATGATGGTGAGGGCCCTTAAGCTTCACCATTATCTTATTGCCCCCCAAAGCATCCAACCTCCAAACCCTCCAATACCCATTTTAATGCATAACATCCAAACTGCCCCATACCACCACTCTACTTATGGTAACCAGTATAAATTTACATGCTTTATAGTAACATCTGTGATTCTTTGAAAAATCTCATTAATCTGTGAAAAAAAATTACTTAAACACAGCTATTCACATTATATACTAATGATCTGCACAAAAGAACTGAGGCATTGTTGCTAAGTTTGCAGATGACACAAAGATAAGTGGACGCACAGGAAGTGTTTAGAAAGCAGAGAAGCAGCAGAAGGACTTGGACAGGCTAGGAGAGTGGGCAAATAAGTGGCAGATGGTGTACAATGTGGGAAAGAATGAGGTTATGTACTTTGGTAGGAAGCATAGAAGTGTAGACTCTTTTCTAAATGGGAAATGGCACACTGAAGCACAAATGGACTTGGGAGTTCCAGTTCAGGATTCTCTGAAGGTTAACATGCAGATTCAGTTGGCAATTAGGAAGGCAAGTGCAATGTTAGCATTCATTTCAAGAGGGCTAGAAAACAAGAGTACACATGTACTGCTGAGGTTGTATAAGGTTCTGGTCAGACCACATATGAAATATTGTGAGCAGTTTTGGGCCCCGTATCTAAGCAAGGAAGTACAGATGTTGGAGGGGGTCCAGAGGAGATTTACAGAAATGATCCCAGAGATGAAGAGCTATTCTTTTGAGGAGTAGTTGTGGATTCTGGATCTGTACTCAATGGAGCTTAGAAGGATGAGGGAGCATCTCATTGAAACTTACAGAATACTGAGAAGTCTGGGTACAGTAGACATGAAGAAAATGTTTCCACATATAGTAGAGACTAGGATCCGAGGGCACGGCCTCAGATTAAATGAAGGAATTATTTCAGCCAAAGCATGGTAAATCTGTGGAACTCATTGTCATAGAGAGCTGTGCAGGCCAAATCATTGAGTGTAACTAAGACAGAGATAGATAGGTTCTTAATTTGTAAGGGGATCAAAGGTTTAGGGGAGAAGGTAGGAGAATGAGGTTGTGAAACATATCAGCCATGATCGAATGCTGAGCAGAACTAATGGGCCAAATGGCCTGATTTTGCTGGTATATTTTATCGGTTTATTATCCTTTTCAATTATTGCATAAGCAGCTCTACTGAACAGAAACCGGCAGCGAGTGGAGGTGAACCAAGCATTCTTAATGTTGTCCCACTGAACAACTAGGGCAACAAACCCTCCTGAGCAGAATACATTAGAGCCTATGACTACAAATAGTTGTTTAGTCACTGCCAAAGCTTTGAAACTGCTAAATTGATGGCTGAATTGAACTTCAAGGAACGAACATCAAAGCAATGGGAATGTTTCATGCCAAAAGATCTTTTATTAAATAGTCTTTTATCCATTGGATAGAATACGTTACTACATCTGAAGACTTTTTAAATTTCACAGTGCTCTTCTTTCCAGAAATAACTTGTCAGTTGTCTTAGATAACAACCTGGCATCCACATTATTCAATGGGTTCTTATATGTTTTAAACAAAGCACAAACCAAATACACGCTGTTTTAAAATTATATATAGCTTGGACATCTAAACTAGGCAACAGCTTCTGTACTTATCTTTAATAGGTTCCCACCTCCAAACTATGATCTTCACATGGCTCATGTCACTTCTGTTCTGCTGTGATTCATGTTGCCCTCCAAAATTGGTCCCACTCTATTAAAATTGTGGAAGACCTAAAATGCCTAATTCTGTATTGTATGGCAATGTTGGGCACCATTGATGTGGCATCATCATATGGAGTCTCAGTCCACTTTATTATCCCATGCTAACAAAAGTTGTAATCACTAGGAATGGGGAGTGCGAATCCAAGATTCAGGGCAACCTGCCTGACACAGTTTGGTCCTGCATTAAGATCCACTCTGTTCCTGCCTCCTGCTGCTGCCTAACTATTAAGCATTTCCAGCATTTTTAAAATTATTTTTCTACCGTTATTCGTATTTTCGCTCCTGAAAGGTCTGGTTCTAATTTTCAGACTATGCACTAAGACATAGACTCTCTCAATGAATGAAGATTTTTTAAACAATCTATCCTACCTGTTCCTCTTAATGTCTTGAATACTTAAATCAAATCATGTCCTAATCTTTTAAATTCCAGAGATTATAGCCCCAGGTTAATTTCTCTCTATAGCTTAATCCTTGGAGTCCAGGCATTATTTTGGTAAATCTGTAATGAACACCAAGGACAATATATCCTTCCTAGCATGTGGTTCCCAGAACTAGTTGCAGCACATCAGGTACAGTCAAAGCAGGGCTATATATGACTGGAAATTGCCCCTACCTGCTTGAAATTGCTTTCTACTGAAAATAAGTTTTCCCATATTTATTTATATGTCACCTGACTTAATTGCATCTTCTTGCATCTTCTGTTAATATCTGGATCCTAAAACAGTCAAGATATCTATGTGTATGACACTCACAACCATTTCTGAATCATGTGCGAAGCTTAGGATGGCATGGACTCCAGTTTGCCCTCCTTTCATGTTACAATGTTGTTTTTATAAATTAGAGGCTTGACCAATGTATAATACTAGATTTTTGCTCAGTTGCCCAGTCAAAATATGTATCTGGTGACACGACTTGTGGTCCAGTGTGTCATCATTCATATTGAAATGAAATATTTGTAAAAAATGCTTCACTAATATTTAATTCTGATCAGTAACTTTCATGACAAAGATCGCCTTTACTCAAATGGAGTTCATGTAGAAAATAATGAAAAAGCATCTCAGAGTTTGCAACTTTTTTCCTTTCATATGAATGTTTCTTGGTGGAGAATGAAATGAAGTACTGATTTCTAAATCTCCTTTCATTCTATTGACATATTTTTCTTCTTTTAATGCGACAGGACACCACAGACTATGTTGCATATGTGGCAAAGGACCCAGTGAATCGTCGAGGTAGTGACTGCTGTTATATGTGTTAAGGCAGTCTCTCATTCAGTAACTTTATACTTTAATGGAAATATACCCGAATAAGAATGAGAAAATATTTTGTCAGTATGCTATTCACATCAAATTTATAAAGTAATTTATGAGAATGCATTTTAAAGTCTTCCACAGCTTTGCCATTCTCTTTCTTTGTAATCTCCTCCAGCCCAACAAAGCTCTACATTATCTGTATTCCTCTGATTTTAGTCTCTTGTATAGCATCCCCTGTAATGATTGCTCTACAATTGGTGCCTGTGCCTTCAGTTACTTAGGTCCTAAGTTCTATAATTCCCTCCCTACACATGTGTACTCCCCCACCCCACCGTGCTTTCCTCCTTTAAGATATTCCTTAAGAGCTATCAAATCCTTCTGAGCTGACTTATTATTTCCCTATTATGTCTCCCTATCTCCCCATTATTATTTGCAGTATATTTTGTTGTTTCTTCGGTGTCTAACTCTGTTTCGTCTCCTCAAGAAATACTGCTGGAAAACATGGAATTTTCTGCAAGAACTTTTTATTTACAATTTATTCTATGCATGCTTTGGGTTGTATTTTCTGTGGATTGCCTCCTATCTACTCACATTAAGAAAGAGCTGAGCCTTCAGAAATGCAGAGTGTACCTTAAATGCAACTGTGTCCTTGTCATGCAAGACGAGACAAGGCAATCAACATCTCTTCTTTCCATGAAAGAAGTTGCCATAATCTGTGATTTAAATATCCAGCCGTACAGATAACTATTTTACAGTTGTAAATAGGTAAACATGTAGCTAAGTGTAAGGTTAGGGTGCCAGGTACCAATTGTGCAAGGTGAAACAGTGCTGGGGTGCCAAGAAAGTGAAGTACCATTTATCCTTTAGAGCAGATTAGAATGAGTAGGGACATCAGGATCAGTGTGAAGAGGTGGGGTTTTGGGTTCCAGAGGAAGAGGGATTGCTGGGTTTTGGAAGAAGAGGGGGTGTATCGAAACCAGGAGTGTGAGGTATGTTTCTAATCTTAGAGAGAGAGAAGATGTCAGGTTTAGCGGGAGAATGGAGTTGTTTGGTTTGGAAACTTGGATTGGTATCAGGTCCTAGTGAAGAGATAATGTTGAGTCAGTGTTGGATATTGTGCGGTGTGCGGTGTGTGGTTAGGGGAGTGTGTGGTAAGTGGGATCAGTCTAATAGTAACCTAGGTTTGACTAGATTTTTAATTATCTAATTTTTCCTCGGTCATTATATAGTTGCTGCTGTGGAATCCATTGAATCCTCTGATTTAACTGAATATTTTCAGAGGGTTTCAGGTGCAGGGGAATTGCCCATTAGAATCTTTAATTTCCTGGGCATCAAAAAATTCAGGTATTATCTTCACACCAGATTAGAGCTTCTGTTTCAGTTCTCTCTACTGTGACTCTGATATGATTATTACATGTGTATGTCTGATGTTAATCCCAATACTCTATACTTATGTCATGGATGTCATTCTCTAATTTATGAAGCACCCTATGAAGCACCTTGGGGCATTTCATTTAAGTATAGGTGCTATATAAATAGAAGTTAATAATAATAATCATTTTATTCATGAAACATGTTTGCTCCCTGGAGGCTGTATTGCAGTGTAATTTACAGTGTAAAGTTCATATATAGATTAAGAAATTGGATTAAAAATGTGCAAACATATGGCAGTCATATCTTGATAAATATAGGTAAACCAATTCTTTCAGTAATAAGGAAATGTGGAATGGGATATCAAATGAAAAGTAAAATTGAGTTAAGGTTATATTAAAATTGCAATTTATTTAGAACCCAAAGCATAGAAGGGTCAGGCCTATATTTGTATCTTTTCATCCTGAATTTTGTCAAACGTCTGAATTGCCTTGATTGTTCCAGACATGATGGAGATATCTAGATCTGAAATTGCATAGGATATTTTCTGAACTGAGTACAAATATTAACTTGTTGCTTTAATGATTTTGCTATATATGACATACAGAGAAAATCTTTCTTGCATAAATATGAACATATGGAGTAAACTAATAGATTATAAGCGTAGTATGCAATATGGTCTTTGCACCAAAATTAACGGGGAACTGTATTGTTTATTGGCTGATATAAGGAAAGTTGCAAATTTATGAAGGGATTGTTAACTTGGCAGATTTTAACTTTTGTACATTCTCTTTTGAAGAATTGTGACTACAATGTACTTTCTGTTATTAGTATTAAGAGTAAAAATAATTTACAATGCTTTTCCTACAAGCACATACTTATTTTATTGTCGATTAATCATGTATGATCTCGACTTTCTTCCAAGTACTGAAATGGATTGAATTGCTTGGCTCCTTTTGAAAATGTTGATATCCAAGGTGATTAGAGATAGATTCAATGAGGGCCCATATGTTCTCAGAGTACTCTCCCATTCACAATATAGCTATTTGTTTATTTCACACTAACCAATTACAGTCTCAGAATAATTCCTTGAAATAACAGCTTGAAATAAAAGATAATGTTAAATGAATACATTTGATTTTGCTGTGATTTTAGCAGAGTGTTAAGGCTTTAAAATAAAGAGGTTAACACCTGTACAAAGATAGTGGACAATGGAATAACATACATGTTTATTAAGGGTTTGCAGTAATATTTTCAGTGACCAGGCCTAAATGCATTAAAATATTGGGAAACTATCTATGCTCTCTACATGCAATGCATAGGCATCATATGCTGAGATTGTTTACTGTTTTGCGCCTATTACTTATTTAATTCTCAACAGCTCATAGATGTTACAAAAGGTAATCACACAGTTATAACATCTATTTGAATCCTGATCCTTTCCTGCTATTTTATTTGTATTGATGTTATGTTCCTGAAATGTGGTGTGATGGGCACTAAACCCTGTACGAAAGATGCCAGTAGAGTGGGCAGGAAGCACTCACACATTTCTGTGCACGCATGCTCTGCCCATCATTTTGGTGGAACTGAGCACAGTGGTGTGCACGGAAATGCACAATGGAATCAGTTAAAGTGAAGAATAATTTATTTACATTAGATTCCTATGATGCAAGTAGGATCAGTTTTCAATTTACTAAAATCTTCTGTGCAGCAGTAGATACATAGAAGTCTTCCTGGCTCTTGGAAAAGAGAATGTTCCTCTTCCTGTTCACTGCTTATACCAGGACCTCCAAGGCAGCAAGAGGGAACCTTGGTGCTCTTTCAGCACTTGATATTTCATCGTTTCACTCCTACTAAAATTAATTTGTTGCTTTTTGCAGCCAGAGTGAATCATCCTTTTAAGAAATGTTGGTTCTATATAAAAGTCAATTATAGATGTCTGACTCTCGCCCCAAAGCTCTTTGGTTAGCATTTGTGCAGTAGTTAATTAAAACAGATACATTCAGGGCTAAAGAGATAACACAGTGTGGAGCTGGAAGAACACAGCAGGCCAAGCAGCATCAGAGAAGCAGGAAAGTTGAGGTTGGGACCCTTCTTCAGAAATGGGGCAGGAGAAGGGAGCTCAGAAATAAATAGAGAGATGAGGGGTGGGGCTGGGGATGGTAGGTGGGATGGTGATAGATGAGTGCAGGTAGGGAGTGGTGGGGATTGGTCAGTGAGGTGGGAGGGGCACCCCACTGTGCAGCCTCTTCTAAGGATGCCCACCGTGCAGGACTAAATCCCAGGTGTGATTGCATATGCAGACAAAAGATTTCTCAAGTGTTAGAATAGTTCAGAAACAATGCATGTTAGTATTGGATAGTTCTGTGCCTTCCTTGAATATTTACTGGGTAAAAATTCCATGTGGGAAAGGAGTACCGAATAAGGCTTAGAAACAGAACCAGACCGTTCTGCCCTTAGAGCCTGTATTGCTCAATTAGATCATTGGATTAGATTGATCTGTATGCTAATTTTATTTACCTGTCTTTGATCTCTATTACGTAGAGTATCAAGGGACTAAAGTCTGCTTTCTGCAATCAACTGATTTAGCATTCACAGTCTTTTTGGAAGTGAATTCGTGGTTGCACAAAACTTTGTGAAAAATACAGAAACATAGAAAATAGGCCCATCGAGCCTGCTCCGCTTTTCTTTAGGATCATGGCTAATCATCCAACTCAATAGCCTGTTCCGGCTTTTTCTCCATATCCTCTGATCCCTTTAGTCTCAAGTGCTATATCCAGCTAGCCCTTGAGCTCATACAATGTTTTGGCTTCAATGGTGTTCTGTGGCAGCAAATTCCACAGGCTCACCTCTCTTGGTGAAGAAATTTCTCCTAATCTCAGTTCTAAATGACATATCCTTAGACTGTGACCCCTAGTTCTGGACTTGCCCGCCATCAGGAACATTCTTCTTGCATCTACTCTGTCTAGTTCTGTTAGAATTATATATGTTTCTATGAGATTGTCCCTTTATTCTTCTGAGCTCCAGTGCACATAGTCCTAACCAATTCAACATCTCCTCATAGGTTAGTCTCACCATCTCAGGAAATCCTCAGTCTGGTAAACCTTCACTGCATTCTCTCTGTATCCCTGTGCTTCCTGAAGTCATTCCTGAATAGAATTTCAGTTTTTATTGGAGTAAACTTCAGATGAGGAGCAATGCAAGGACTGAAAGCTGAATCAGAAACGATCCGTTAGCTTTTTGTCCATTGACCAAGCTGTGATGAACTCAAATAAAAGAAACTTGGGCAAATTTCTTCTAACTGCTGTTCCAAGACCAGTTGTGAGGCTAGACAAAACACTTTTTGGCTCCCCAAGGAAACCTGCCAGACATGCTGCTGTAAGGAAGAAGCAGGCAAAGGTACCATTCTGGCCAAAAGCAAGCTCCACTAGGAATACTTGGTTCAACTTGGATTCTTCTCTGAAGAATTTGTCAGTGATATTTATTTTGTGCCGACTGACTTTTCAGGGAAATGTGATGTTTGGAATTCTAATTGCTGTGCTACATCAGCATTGCTTTTTATGCTTCTCTTAACACCCACATCTGCTTTCATTGCAGTAACAACATCAAACCCTCATTTTAGTAGATGTTCACGGCAGTGCCAAAGTGGTAGGGGCCATTTCTATCATAATCCTTTACTGTATGAGATAGCACTGAAAGAATAAATTCAGAAATAACTAATTTATTGTTACTTTGCAAGTGTAATGAAGAGAATTTGATGTTGCATTAGAACTAGCACAAAAGGCTTTTGTGTCTTACAAAGCCTTTTCTGCAGCATGGTATCTGTATTTTGAAGTAGCTTACCTCTGTTATACTCTTCTTTTCAGAACATTGTGTCAAGGTTTGTCAAATTGCAGTTATAAAAGTAAAAAGGGCTGTCTACCTGCTACTTTCTCTAGAACAAAGCAAAATATTACAGGATGTTAACTTGTCTCCATACCTATGTGAAGCTATCTGCACAATAATTATAATCTGGCCTTTTTTGAGGCTTATAAATCCTATTATGAATTATAAAATTATACAATGCCAGTAATGCACTGGTATTCAATGAATCACAGGGAATCTACTTCTGAGAATTTGACACCTAGGAACATTACCTGCAGTAGTCCATAATTGAAATGGAAGAATAAACTTTATATTTGACTGCTGAAGTTATTTTGACAAGATTTGCCTAGAATGAAAGATGACAGCTGTTATTAAATGTTTTTAAAGCGTGTCATATATTGGAATGCTGTGGCGGGCTGGCTCAAGATGTTATCAGTACGATTGGCCAAGCTTTTGAACTTCGATTCAAGCAATATCTACAGTGTCCTACTAAGATATCTAGTATTCATAACAGGTGAGTACTGATAGCATTGCTAATGACTTTATTAACATGAAAGATATTTTAAAAACAACTATAATTTTTACTATATTAAGTGTTTAGGCTGTAAGGTTGTGTGTGTGGAACATCACATTATTGAAGTAATATGGTTACTGAAGAACAATAAAAGCAACTTGGGAGTACTATCATTAATGTTACACACTGCAGAACAATTATTTGGATGATTCTGATTATTTGATTTGATTAATTATTGTTTGAAACATATTAAGAGTACTTATTGAAAAAAACATGCTCAAAGTGAGTGATGATTAGTACTTGGGAATGGAACTCTTTTCATTTCAGGTAACATAATGATCACCTTAAATTTAATCAAATGTTTGAGTTAAACAGGGTATGTAATGATCAGAGCATGCACTATTACAGATTTCTTATCCCTGTTACCAATTTCTTGTCAGCGCAAGCACTCCCCTTTCAGGTACGGTAAAGCCAAATGCAGAGTAAAGTTATCTGTACTCTATCCTGACGAAATTCCTTCACTTCAACCTCAGAACAGTGCTCAGTAAAAATTTTACAATTTCACACGATGGTCATTCTCTAGCCTCTGAGAGATATTGTCACCAAGAACTGGAATGAGACTGCCCAACCACATTGTACTGTGCCGAATTATTCACAAATGTAATTTGTTCAACTCATGAATCAAGGTTGGATTACAGCCCAAATACGAGTGTAATGCAAGGTGTCTGATAAATATTGATATTACTGTAATTTACTTTTGAGTTTGGATTTTGAAATAGTGGCATGTAGGTTGTGGTCTGTGTTGATGAGGATGCTTAATGCTTTACTTGTCAGTCTTTCTATGGCTATGTTGTGTTTTCTTAAGCTAGTCAGAGATAGACCGATTGCTCCTTGGGTGATAATGGAATATTTGCATTGGAAGAGTTTTATAGATAGACAAAGTAAACATTGGAGAACATTAACTTGCTTTCAGTTAGGAGAATCAGGAATTGATTTTTTTTTCTGGTGGCTTGGGAGAGACATCTAACTTAAAAGACTTTTGCTTCATTTCACAGAAGCCCTGATTGAAGTTAGATGCATAAAACTGTTTCTCCCGGAGAAAGGAGTTAGTTCAGAAAAGTTATGAAATAGTTTACCTCTGTATAAAGTTGAAAGAATTGAAAGAAACAGTTAAGTCAAACCTATAGGTGTGATAGAAAAGGGTATTCTCTGGTGCTTGCGTACTTTGATGTGATAGTTTTGGGATAGATAGGATTGTATTTTACTCTGTGTGTTTCAAAATCTTATAAATTGTGCTATACATGAATAGCTTAGTTTATTCTATTTTTTTCTTCTATTCATTTGCAAATAAACTTCAGTTTTACTGTTAAAATACAATCTGCAGCTTTCAACAGTTTATTTTGTGAAGTACATACATACTGAATGAAAAAAATCTATCAATCTAGATTTCAGGCTGGGTTCTGACTTGTCCAGTAATAACATCAGCTGGGATCATAATACCAGAGATGAAAGAGAGCTTAGAGCCCATTGTACCAGCAGTGTACCATCCAGATCATTTCTATGACCCTGTGATTGTAATGTGATGTTAATTTAAAAAGTTGTACTGCTTTAATACTGCAATCAGCATTTCAAGTACTGTTATCATTTTTACATGCAACCTCAATATGTAATAATTCTAAATGCATAAGTAATACTTAATCAGCAATCATGCTGTAGATTTGAGATTGATTTTAGATTTCAGACAATTTTCAATTGTTTGCGAGGGTTGCTTTGATCCTAATTGAAGGTTGAAAGTCAGGACTGTGAAAGCAAATGCGCTTTTGTCCAAGAAATATTAAGGATCAAATCTAGCGAACTCATTATTTAGATTTACTCAATAAAATCCCAGGAATTCTTATTCTGATCATTAATAAATACATTGCAAGAAAGTATCTAACAATATTGTGTTCCTTCTTTGTTGATCTCATTTCATTAAGCTGTAGAGAGAGAGGTTATATGGGTTTGCAGTTTACTTACCAAGTGGATGCTTGATAATCATTTCTGATAGTTTTGAGTGCAGTATAACTGTGGTGATTGAAGTGGATTTGACAGGGCAGATTTGTAGGAAATCTAACATGATCCAAAGAGAATTTTTTTCCAAATTGCAATAAAACAATAAAAATTAGTATTCAAATGTATGTCTGCCTGCCATTCGCTTGATCACCTGACAATATAAATTTGACAGCTTTTACTAGAAATGCTGATGCTCAAAAATCTGCAATAAGAATAGAAAATTCTGCAAACATCCAGCATCTTAGGAGAAAGAAACAGAATTAACTTTAAAGGTTAATGATTTTTATCATGCAGATGCCAGGGTTCTGACCCAAAACACAAGATCTTATTCTTTCTCTATGTCTCATTCATTTTAATTATATTTCAACTTTAATTTTACTTATTTCTACATATTCTAATTTTGTATTCAAATTTACATAAAATACAAGCAGGAATGGCATTGAGTCTATTGCATACAGTCATGGTGCAAGTAATTCCACACACGGGCTAGAAATCCAGGCCAATTCTGAAGAGAGCCAGGATGTTTCTCTCTGTCCCCTGGAAATGATTGACATGAATACCAGGAAACCACAGTACCTGTGAAATATATCATCAAATAGCCCACCTATTATTTAAAATATTCTGATATCAGCCAAGGCTAAGAGTCATTGTGTTGTCTTTTAAATATTTACAATGAGTTCACATTCACTGCTTGAGATGGCATCTTTTTTCCATAAGTCCGTCACCCTCTACGAGAATGAATGCATCCTGACAGTTATCCAGTTCTATGTGTATGTATCTTATATATAGATCCATGATTCTTCCTAACGTATCTACTTCAAAATTGTCTAACCACATGCACAGAGAAAAATCCTTTAATTTATTATTTTTAAATCAAATCCTTCCAAGCTCTACACTTTTCTAGATTAAGGGTGTCAAATTCTCCATGCCTATTTAATTCATGGGCAACTCTTCTTGCTGTTATTGATTCATACCTGATGTAGAGAGAAGGAAGTTGGACTGAAGCTTAGGCACCTGTTTCATGCATTCAAACTGGACCTACAATTAACCCCTCATCCCTTGAGTTTTGCACAGCAATCTAGCCACCGATCTAGCTGAGTGATCACATTAATAATATTGTGTATATGTTTTTTCTTCTATCCTTGTTTCTAAGGGTTTGCCATGCACTGCAATCAGATTGTATCATTATATGTGCAAAATACTGTCACAGTTTGTCTTTGTCTTCTGCAGGACGGGTAGTCAGAAAACTCTTGCTTTTGCAATCTCCAATATTGGAAGGATTTATAAGGTGGTACATTAATTATGGTTGACTTTAATGTCATGTTCCACACAGGCCTTCCTTGGCCAACGAGTCCTGGTGTAGGACAGAAACCTGGGCTTTTGGCCTAGCAATACATCTGAGCCATAGACTTTCAGTGGTGCTACAACTCCAGATTTCCAGCTTCTACAATTCTAAGGCACTTTGTCCGATGTGGACTGAGATATATGAGCCATATAGTATGTGATTTATTGAAGGGACTGAAAGGAAGGAGTGGGGATGGAATAGCTTTTTTGTATAAGATGGATAAAATGTGATAGCAGGAAATTATCTTGGATTAGAAAATGGGGCATCCAGTTGGGTGAAAGGAAGGAAGGCATTGTTGTGTGTGGTCTATAGGCCCCCTAACAGTAGCTGTACTATAGGAAAAAATCAGGAGTAATGAGAGAATTTTAAAATGGCAGCACGTTAATCTTTGTGGTAGATTAGGAAAATATGATTGGCAGAGGTAACTACAGAAGGCATTCGTTGAGTCTATTTGGGACAGTTTCCTAGAACAAATGTTGTCGATCCAACCAGGTATTTTGGATCTGGAATGGAGTACTGAGGCATGTTTAATAAATGATAACATATGAAAAGATCCTTAGGAAGCAGTAGGCATAACATAATAGAATTTAGTGTTTAGTTTGAGATTGAGAACCTGTTTGGAAAAGCTCTAAACTTAAGTAAGGGTCATTCCAAAGGAATGAGGACAGAATTGGCTGGGCAGGGAATTTAGCAGAAAAGACAGTCTGGTGAGTGGCTGTATGCATCTGCTAGGCACCTGAGTTTGTGTGAGTTTAACAATGTTGAAAGCTTATTTACACCAAACTCAGCTTGCACCTCTTAAAAGAGGGATGCATTCTGACTGGAGCAGTTATTAGCCAAGGCTGGACTGTAAGCAGAATTATTTTGACACAACATGCAGTAACTCCTTTCCCTGCTTCTCAGACACTACACTGGAGAGCTGTGGTGCAGGTGAAGGAGTGAAGGAGCTATGTCCTCTATCAGAGGGAGACCTCCGTACAGTAGAACCAGATGGCCATCTTTGGACACTGATATGGTGTTGCAGGAACTTCAGTAACCTTAAAAAAATGGTGATAGTTAGTAAATGCATCTTCAAATTCTATTTCTTGGTTCAATGAAGAGTGCAGGAGGGCATGCCAGGAGCAGCACCAGGCATACCTGAAGATAAGGTATCAACCTGGTGAAGCCACCAAACAGGACTACTTGCACTCGAAAAAGTGAAAGCAGCAAGTGATAGAGCTAAGTGATCCCATAACAAACGGATCAGATCTAAGCTTTGCAGTCCTGTCTACATCCAGTCGTGAATGGTGGTGGACACTTAAACAACTCACTGGAGGAGAAGGCTCCACAAATATCCCTATCGTCAATGATGGAAGAGCCCAGCATATCAGTGCAAACGATAAGGCTGAAGCATTCGCTGCAATCTTCAGCCAGAAGTGCCGAGTGGATGATCCATCTTGGCCTCCTCCAGTGGTCCACAGCATTACAGATACCAGTCTTCAACCAATTAGATTCATTCCACATGATATCAAGAAATAGTTGGAGACACTGGATACTGCAAAGGCTACGGGCCCCGACTACATTCTGGCAATAGTACTGAAGAGTTGTGCTCCAGAACGTGCCC